TGTTTTTGTTTTCAGTTCACTTGAATTTGCCCATTTCCGTTTAGCTTCAGTGTCTGGTTTCTTCATTAGTCCGTTTAATTATGACGATATTAAGAGTAATTTCAGAATACATTTTACAATATATATATATATATATATATTTAGTCATTGCTAGATGTTTATTAAATAGTGAGTAAACATGTGTACAAACATTTTTAATCACAGCAATGCTGAGGTTTATTTGGGGAGGTGGAACCAGATTTATTTATTTTTTTAATGTAAAAGAAATTCTGTTGTATAGTGAACTAACTAACACTTTATAAATACATTTTTCCCCATTTAAAAGAAGAGCTTACTGGTGGTGTTATGTTGACCTTCATATAAAATCATTTGAATAACTGAGAACAAAATTACTAACTTCTGTTGAGCAAACAATGCCCACGAAAGGTTTGCTTTTGATGTTCAGAAACTGAAACACGTGGTTGTGTGCATAAGTGACTGTGGTCACTTGTGCACACATCTTGGCATTACTGCCAAGTTACAAGCTTTATAGCGTGTAAGAAACGAAACCAAAGAAAAACAAAGAACAATATTTCTGTTTGAATGCAATGTTGTAATTCAGGCTCCATGACTGTCTAAAGGTGGTTTACAGTAAGCTGAATTAATTAGATTGTTTTTATTACTTTTTGTAGGCTTCTTATCTATTGAGCTGCATAATAACACAGCTTTTTTCTATATAGAGAAGTTTTTGGCACCCAAAGAGATTTTAGAACCAAAGAAAATCACCATCACTGTAAGAATTTTTTAAAAACAGTTTCTACATTTGGTTTTCATTTAATAATTTATAAACAATGCCATCGTTTAGAGGATGTAGAGAAATACCTTATTAAACAACAGAAAATATACACTGCATTCACTGTACATGGGCACACGCGCCCCAAAGACTTCTTCTGGGGATAAGCAGTGTAACAAACCTACAGTGTGTGTGCTGTGCATGTAGCTTTGCTAAGTGAACATTAAGCTGTATAGCTGATCAGGCTGTGTGACTGGCTGTCTAAATGGGGCCTTGCAGATTTCTGTGTTAACGATAATGTGGTTATAGTACAGATCTATTGGGATGCCACCATAATTAGCACCACCCCTGGGTATTGCCAGATCTCCAGTTTCAGGATGTGCTTAAATTAATGACCTTGAAACAAGAGGAAGACGGCTGAAAAGCCAAATGTATGAATTCAACTCAGAGCAAAAAAGCAGCATATGCAGCAAATGTACTTCTGTACTTGTGTGAACTCTCTCCACTGTAGTATATGAGGAAGAAACCCTTAAGTAACATCAAGCCTAAAGTAAATAACCCTCACTCCTTTCCATGTTCCTTGAGCCACTAATTTGCTTACTACCCATGATGTCTGGAATATTAATGAAGAATTTGGGTGGTATGGATTAGATGAGGCGACACATTAATCTAGGATCAAGGTCACAAGCCTTCAATTAAAAGGACACTTGAGTTTGTTCACTTCCTGCTCCGGAGTAGACATGAAAAGAAGTATCCTTTTAATTGGCCATTTATGCAAATAGCCACTGGAAGAAACTATAATAAACTCAAAACAACCTTCTGTTATATTTCACAACAGTGCAAAAATACTGCAAACAATAGTCATGTGTGGCTATCTATAGTGCACATGGGATGAAGCCCAAACACCTAAAAGGAAACCGTAACAGTTCCTCACCCTCCACAGAGAAACAATGAAAGCTGTTACTTGCGGAGGACACATATACTAAAGGAGGTACCCTCACACTTTCTTAAGTAGTTAGCTATCTGTCTATTAAGCTTCGTAACCCGTGGATGGTCTCCAGCTCCACTGTATTGAACTCCTTAGTGTTACAGAAGCCTGCAATCGATATTCCACCAAAATGGTGGAGTAGGACCTTTTTAAAGTACTGGATGAAGGCCTGGGGCCTGCCAAAATATCAACCTGATCAGCCTACAAGTAGGAAAACATAAAGAAGATGAGGTGCTGTTTGAATGGGGAGAATGAGGACTTACACACAGTACAACTGAATGCAATTTTCTCCACTGAAACAAATGAAATAATTAAAATACATTTTAAGATACACTTCAGTGGCCTCCAAAATAAAGCCTGTGTGAGAAACACTGCTGTACAAAAATGTGTTAATAAATAGTAAATATTAGCAGAGCTTTTCTTCCCTCAGTGATGCATGTCTGTACGGTGATGGTATTAAAGACCGACTTAGCAACACAAACAAAAAACAGTCTCACTCAGATACAAAGGTCATTTGTATTAATGAATGTGTCTTTGCGGTTATTCATATTATGTTCTGCAGCAGCCAAAAACTAGGTTAGAAAAGGTACAAAAAATATATTAAAAAAAAATTTTTTTTCTGTTTATCTGCATGAACTTTTTTTCGGGCTATATGATAACCCAACTGGCAGGGCTGAGATAGACTTTGGTTGCCCGACCGGAGATGTTGCTAGCTCCGGGACGTCGGGCTAGCGATTTTGCAAGCCCTGCGTTTGGTTCTTTAGCCGTCAGAATTGGTGTCTGAAGGCCAACAAAGATACCCAACGGATTTACTTTACCAAGCGGATCTTCACGGCCATTGGGCCATTTAAACTTTTTAACTTTAAGATGTCACACTGTGTCCATTTTTGGAATTATTGTGATTTAGTAAATAATTAATAAACAGTCACTTGTATAGAACGCCTTTTACTGTCACTATACACTTGTACAATGAGATACAGAGAATCTCCTACTCAGTGCAGCTAGCTACGATAGTATCTCATTCATGAATGATTAAACTAGGTTTATGCGAAACCATTAATCAATCACAATTCACACAGCATTATCGTCACAGGCCAAAGTTGGAAAAGTCACTAAGGGACACTAAGGGGGTAAAATTTGCTGGTTGACTGGCCAGGTTGCTCCCTCAGGTGTGTGGTCAAAAACAGGGTGCTGTCTATTTGGAGCTTAAAGATGAATGACTGTATAATAAACTGAAATTGTCAGACTATGTTTTTAGAGATATATTTTCAGACAATGAAGCCAAGATAACAAACACTGATAACATTGGAAAGTTTGGCTGTTTTTGTACACACCTGGGATTCTCTGTATTTTTCTTTGGCTGGCTTTTCACTTGTCACATTTATGTCTGTGAATGATTACATTTCATGTATACTTTAATGCTGATACAGAATTTAGATGAATTGTACAGCACACTGTCGTAGAAAAATGTACATTTTCTAAGAGAAAATATCAGCTCTACCAAAATGAATTGATTAGACACGTTTCTGCACCATGTTTCTGTTGACCTTTTGAGTCCCTTTTTGTTTTTCTTACTGTATCCAAATCAGTATGGGCTACACCCCTGATCTATAGTACAGCAATTTCAAATAAATATCATAGACTGGACAGATGTAATTTTAACAACATGTTAAAACTAATACTGTTAATTTTGGCGCCTTTACATTCATTTTATCCACTTTGTATTCGTAATTCCATAACAGACCAGTCAGAAACTTCACCATGACTGATAAGCAATGCTCATCCTAAGTGTGGTTTGGATGTTTCTGTCTAAACATAGCACTGGTACAGGGCTGACGCACACACATCTGTGCAGAAAAACCCTTGGAAAATGTTGCTCGTGTGATTCAGAAATTTGATCATGAAGTGCATACACAGCAAAAAAAGGCAGAGAACAGACAGAGAAGGAAGAACAGACAGTTATATTGGGAACTTGTTTGTCCAGGTTTAACATTAACACCAAGTTTAAAACTAACTTTCCTCTGTGCTACTTTTACAGATTGTTTATATGTCCAAAGCAGGGAGGTCAAGCTCATTTTTAACTCAAGGGTACATACAGCCCTAGTTGATCATAAGTGGATCACTTGTTTAATCACTTAATGATAACCTACATGTTTGTGAAATTTCAACAGTGTATCTCCGTATTTTCACATTCATAGGCTTAAAGGCTCAAATTAGGTCCTATTTACTCCAGTTCCTAAATGAAATGCATTGCAGTACAATTATTCATTCCTATTTTGAAGTTAGAATAAGGGAAGAATGTGTTTACAGTGATATGCGACTTATTTTCAGGGCATGTTAGGATGGTCAGCAAGAAAGATTATTGAACTTTTTCTATGTTGATTATTATGCAGTGATTTTACTGCTTAAACTTGGCTATATATGGCTAATAAAATAAATATTGACAAACATTTCCATCTTTAAGGTTTAAACAACATGCTGGAATCTGTAAAAAAAATTTTTTAACTTCCCAGACATTTTCACTCCCAGAGATTGCTGGCACAGCTCACCAAGAATGAAAATGCATTTTGGATTTTAACCCTATTTAGTGGTCGAGACTTAACTGGGTAGTCCACCCCGGCCACATGTTTTGACACCCCTGCATTCGATGTGACACTTTTTGATTGAGAATAGCTACAAAAATGTCTTACTTTAGTTTTGATTCAGTCACTTTTTTATCTAGGGATTGAGAGTAACGTAGTTTCTATTCTCTGTATGTCCTGTACATGTGGCAGAATTGACAATAAAGTTGACTTTGACTTTGACTTTGACTTCCAAGTGCCTGAAGTGCTTTCAGTCTCGCTCAAGTTATTGTTAATCATAAACACATCTTTATATTTGATAGGCAGCTTAAATATTTACTGCATTTAACCCCGAAACAGGTAAGTCCATTAATTCATTAAGGTTAGTCATTTAGCCCTAAAGCAGAATAATGCTGTATTTTTAAAGATAGTACTGCTTTACAAATGCCACGGCACTACGTCTTGTCATAGTCTGTTCTTCCTACTGCGTTTCTGGTTTCTTTCTTGAGTTTTCCTGAAAAGGAACAAGCACTTTTCATGTACAGTCCTGTTCCCCGAGTAACTCGGACTTTCCTGGAAACTTACTGGGTCGGTTAACTTACTATGAGGATCTAGTTCAGCTACTCGATATGACTGTTACTCCGGACAGGTGGGAAAAAATAAACTCGGTTGAACTCACTTGCTTGGCAGTCAGCCTAGAGACACTCCGACAGCGGCGAAATAGTGAAATAAATCCATCACGTGCCGTTTCCGGTGGCTAATCGTCGTCTGTTTACCGAGGACCTCCCGTGTTTTCCCTCCGCTAACAGCCGAGATCTGCTGCTTATCGCGACTGGTCTATTTTTTAACCGTCTCAATTGTGACTGCACTCGCGGTCGCGGCACCTCCCAGATCACGCCCTGTACAGTGACGTCACCTAGCGCGCGATTTATAAAGGCTAGTCCATTATTAAAAGGCTGAAATTGTCAAGGCGTCATCATAAAGAGACCTTGACGAGTAGAAACCGGTTAGGCGACAGTAATTCTTCGAGCTTTAATTCCAGGGAACCAGACTTTCCTGTAATATTTTGAAGTGCTGTTGAGCAATAGTTCCGGAGGTTTTCTGAAGGTCTCTGGCTGCTTTTTCAACCTTTTTGGTGCCCTGATCATTTAAAGAGGAATGTTTTTATTATTTGTTAACACTAACTTATGAATTATTCAAGCATAAAAAGGCAGCCAACTGGTATGAACCAGTGTTGTGATCTCTTTGTGTGTATTATCATCAGTTAAACATTTTAGTTAACTAAAATAAAAATAAAAACTAGACTTTTGGAATAATAATAAAAATAATAATAATAATGACAATAATAATAATAATGATAATAATAATAATGTGTTTATTGAGACTTTTGATATTTACAGTACTGTGAGTCTTGCCTCTGGCTTCCACACAATAATACCACATTTAACACTGAAATGAATAAAACCTAAAGTAAAACTCTTAACCGAAAAAAGAAAATTCACTTTGGAAACTAACCTCAGTTAATAATGCCATTACAGATAATATGGAGGCTCTTTCATGAATACAGGTGTGCCTTGGTTATATATTGTCATATGGTTGGCAAACGTTATATGCAAACTTTACAAAAACACAAATACATACTGTATTTGACTTCCACATTAAAGCTTAAACTCTCATCAGCTGTGCCAGTGTCAAAGCCTTTGCTCCTCTGGAGAGTGTGGTAGTGGCGGAGCAGCTTCATCTTGTGTGATGGGTGTGTGTCCTCCAAACAGCAGGGGGTCAGTAGCCATTCTGTCTACTCTTAATGACTGGGACCAGGACAATGGAGCTCTGCTGTGTGGTGGACTAGGAGGGGTAACAGAGCCACAGCTGGTACTCCTATGAAAAGAATGGACATCTAGACTGTGGTCATAAATAATTAACCAGAGGACACACAGAAGTTTATACAGATGAAAGTACATCTGAATGCTAAACCTTATTGACGTTCATAAAATATATCATAAAGCCAACTTGCTTTTAGCACTTCCTCGAAAGCAGAGGCAATTAAAGGATTGTAAAAAAATAAGGTATTGGCATATTATACACATTATAGTTATTGATGACCAAAGCCTGCTCTCATGTTGTTACAGATATGACCTATAAAGACCTCAAACTCTTGAAGTGAAATTGCAGTCTAGTTGCAGACAGCAATAAAGTTTGAGGCTATTCAAGGATTATATCATCCTTATGATGCTCATATTTGTGGATGCCACAGATGAGCACCTACTATTTCTTGTCTTCTTTGTTGATGCATACTTGGTGTACTTGTAATGTACTGCCTGTGCAGACTTAAATCAAACTGGAGGGTACGTAGATGTCTGCATGGAGTTTAGCATTCACGCTCATGCTTAAATTGTTCTGAGGTGAATCTATGTTTGGTGTGACCGAAGAGGATGCAAAGGTGAGATGGAGGCAGATGATCAGCTGCGGTGACCACTAAAGGGAGTAGCCAGAACAAGAAGTGGTCAGTGTGGCTGACAGCATTTATACATGTTCAGTGTGTTTTGACAGCCATGCGTAATTGCATGGAGGATGTACTTGAATATTAGATTAACTGGCAGTTCTAAGGCTAAGTCCACACTAATGTGTTTTCGTTTGAAAACGCATTGTTTTCTCTCCATTTTGGCGTCCCGTCCACACTGGACGGCGTTTTCTCTGATAGAAAACAGCGTTTTGAAAACGCTCTTGAAAACTTATGCATTTGAAAATGGTACTTTAAGGTCGCAGTGTGGATGGCAAAAATGGAGACTTTCTAAAACGATGACGCATGTTAGTGATATGATGCAGTCATGTGACCAATTAAACTAAGGCATTATACAGCAGTTGTTTTGTTTGCTCTCGATTTTGACAGCCCTAATAAAGATTAATGTCAGTCTGTAGAGTTGGATGTCTCGAGTCCGGTCTTGGTCTCGAGACCACTTTTACGTGGGCTTGGTCTTGTCTTGGTCTCGACGGACTTTGGTCTTGGTCTTGTCTTGGTCTGGGATCCCTTGGTTTTGTCTTGGTCTCGCTGTTTGGGTATTGCTGTCTCAGATCGACATAGTCGTCGGGAGATTTGGAGTCAACAGTATCCATGATGTACAATGTAACGTTCAATAATGTGTCATGCACAAAAGCATCAGCTCTAAGAGCCGTGCTTAGAGAGTGCTTTGTAGTGAATCAGAAGAATCGACTTCCATTGAACAAGAGCCAGCTCTTCACTTAATTTCCTTTTGCTGCTCAGCTCTCACACAGTGGCTCAGCTATGCTCCAATCCCTCCATATTGTGGCCAATCACATGCGAGGATATAGGATAATATTATTATGTGAAAAACAAAGAGAGTGAGAGACGCGACGGTCAAGTGGAGCCTGCGTCTCTCCTCTCAGTGAGTGAGACAGTAGACAGCGGTGAGGAGGGCTGTGCGAGTGCATCGCAAAAACACATAAATATGCCTGACACCCGTAAACAAAGCAGCATCTGGCTGCAGTTTAAATACTTTTTTGTCTCGGTCTTGGTCTTGGTCTCGTCTCGTCTTGACTTTGCCTTGGTCTTGACTCGGTCTGTCTTGGTCTTGGTCTTGGTCTCGATACCCTCTGGTCTTGGTATTGTCTTGGTCTTGGCTTAGGCGGTCTTGACGACAAGTCTATCAGTCTGTACATGCTCCAGATAGCTTTTCTTCAAATTCTTTAACGATCACTCGCTTTTCCAACTTTGTACTTTTGTGTTACTCGCAGCAATAACTCCACCTCATTGTTGGTCCATTTAAAAAAACTTTCGAAGAGCCGGAAAGTAAATAAGCGGCAGACAGAAATGAGGCAGGTCGAATCTTCTTGCGTTTCACGCATGCACAGTACTGGAACATAAGCGCTTTCGTCCGTTTCAATGTGGACGTGCAACTCTGTGAAAACCACTGGAAACGATAGTGTGGATGTGTGACCTCTGAGTCATTCAAATAATTAAAAAAAAGTTTAAAATGGCACCTAAGGGATGAACCAGCAGTGTGTCTATTAATGACAACTTGGCAAATAAGCAGTTTTAAATTGTGTCTTGAGGTACTTTTTAAGTTGAATCTACAAAGAAAGAAAGAAGATAACATGCTCTGACAAGCATAAAACTGTAGTTTTGTTCCAACAAGATGATTCTCAGAGAGAAAGTAGGTAGAAATCTTGCATATATTGACATGACAGTAAGACTCCAGGAAATAGGGGGCAAAAAATCCAGCAAAACCTGGCTCAGGACCTGCAAGATGCATCTTGCCCTTTATCTGACCCATCTACTGTTCGCCGAAGCCATTCTTAAGGAAGGAAACAGGAGAGAGGCAAAGCAACGAGTGTCTACAGCCATCTGTGAAGCATGGTACAGGCTCTGTCATGGTTTGGTGCTGAATTTCAGCGAGTGGTGTTAGAGATCTTGTCAAAAGTGGCAGAATTCTGTATGCAGAAAAGTATTATCAGCTCTTATTCCACCACGCAAACAAATCTGTAAAGTGTTTGATTGTAAGCATCCTTATTTTCAAACCTGACAATGATCCCAAACACACTGCCAAATGCAGTAAATCCATACCTGCAACGAAAAACACACAATGGAACACTATCAGCCATAGATTGTTAACAGAGAACAGAACAAAAGGCCATACCAAATATTGTATTTCATGATTTTTTTAAATTGTCCAAACAAATTGTCCAAACTCTGTTTTTGCCTTAAATATTGTAATTCTATGTTTGCAGAGTAGAATTCCAAACCACAGCACTATCTTTGCATCTATTTTCCTAGCAAAATATAAAGAAACTAGTGATGGCTCAAAAGTTTTGCACAGTACTGCAAGAGATAGCAGTGCTGAGATGAACAGGGTAAATAAATAAATTGAAACACACACACACACACACACGCGCGCTTTTCTACTGTCCTTCCTGTTGTCATCTTTATATAATCATAGCCCAGGCTCTAAAATTTCTGAAACCTCAGAACACTTCAACATGCCCTGACATATCTTCACCTAAAGTCACACCCCTCAGGGGCAACGTTCATTTTACCTCTGACTTATATTGCAGGTTAAGAATAGTGGTAATGCCTTGGAAAGCAAGAAAACTCACTATGAAACTATACACATAAATAGATTACAGTTTCTGTACAGATTTATAACTGAGATTATCAGGCAAGGAATCTATTAATGTCCAAGGTATGGTTACAATAAATTAAAATTATTAGTGTTAGTTATTATAGTGTTAAGAGTTCCTGCTCACCAAGACACAGTGCATGCTATGTAATGCTTCAGGAGATTTTAAATTACATTTTTTTTCACCGTGGCAGATCAGTAGAGAAAGAATCAGTATTACATCTCTGCTAATATTTTAAGATCTCAATACTCATGCAAGAGGAAGTGTTTCTATTTTTCCCGATAGATTGCAATTAATTGGCACAGATATGGTTCACACCCTGCTGTGAGTTAAGATTACTTGCTCCATATGTATTAGAAATCTTCCATCAATCACTGTCTCTTCAGAGGACCGTGCAGGCTGCTTTATCTGGACTAATGAGGTTAACGGCGATAGGATGACCGTGGAGGCAGCGGGTGTGAAGCAGGCTACAGGCAGCCAGGACTCAGGTGTCTTTCCTGCCTGCCTCAGAGTCTCAGGTGGTCACAGAGGCGCTGTTTGCTGTGTATGATCACCCAAGGGTGTCCGTTAAGCACAATGTGGCTCTTGTAGCCACCGCTGCTGCCCAGCTGCTCGTTTATCAGGTTTAATCAAAGCAGGACTAACGTGTGGTACTGCTAATAAGGTTCATGAAACACAACATGTGCAAGAAAGATTTGGAGAGATTAAACACCCACTTAATCAGTTTTGGGGATTTATTCACTTTATGC